ATATTGCCTTTTGCTCACCAAAAACTGGAGACAATTTTTAGGTTAGATCATTCAGAGTACCTAGTGGAGAAGGACATGAGTCTTTTCTAACATTCGTAGAAGAGGACCACGTGACTGGAGACTTTACTGTTGTTAAACAGGAGTTTCAGGGGAATACTAAATGACCATCCATTTCTACCTTTCCCACTTGCCTCAGTGCAGAAAGTGACTGACACTTAGGCCTGCAGTGGTAAGCTGCATGATAGTTAGCCAAACACTCAGAAGGTGCATATCAGTGTTAATGCTGACAGCCTTAGTCATCAGTGTTTGCATTGCTGCTAAAATATTTTAATATGATAATTGACTGGCTTCACTCCTCTATCCAAATCAAAATTTATTCTCATGCTAAGGCTTAATTTTCTGGTGTGTTTGAGACTTGTGTCCAATGTTAAAAGAAGCCCAGAGGGCCTGTGTCCAGAGACATTAATCTCATACTGTTACTCAACTTAAGCCTTCAATTATATCATAAAACTACTTTGCAGAACTGTCTCTATTTTCATCTTGTAGCTAATCCCTGCATGTTTCTTTTGTAACCAAAGAGAATAAGTTAATTCTAGTTAATATCTTATCTAATTTTAGAAATATACAATTCTAAGAACGTCTTTCTATTATAAATGGATATTCATTCAGGGATAAGAGCTAGAGGTGTGAAGTTAAAAGAGAAGGTATATTCAACTGTGACTAGTAATAATCAGATATTTAGAGATTAGAAATGCATATGCAAACATCCAATATCAATTGCATTGAAAAAGAATTTTTCTGTATGAAACTGTGTATTTTAATAATGAAATGGAGATCTTTTTAAAGGTTAAAACATCATTTAATTTATGTCTTATAGGGTTTATACTGAGTACAATATTGTATAACTGTAATAATTCAACTGTAAACCTAAAAATTTACAGCCAATTTTGAAAGAGATGCATCCTACCTCAGGAAACCGTTATTGAATATGTCAATTGTGTTGTAATGATATGCTTCTTCTAAGTATGTTGTTATTAAATAAATCATTTTTAAAAATTAAAAAAAAAAGAGAAGGTATATTAGAAAGTACAACCCATCAGATATAAAAGGCAGCGTAGGAGTTATCTTTGAAAAAAGGACTTAGATACAAGGAGAATAAAAGTTAGGTCTGCACCATGTGCTTTTCATAATAAGCAAGGGCAAGGATTGTAATACCTTTCCAAGTTTCCTGAGTCAATAGTTTATGACTTTGCCAATGCATGTTCACTATGCACCTTGTATTGATTATTGCTAAAGTCTTCAAGAAGGAAAGAACCAGTGCACTGGTATGTGATGAGCTGAGACCTAGGGCAGAAAACACAGGTGATATTAGAATTTGAATCTATTGCCCATTCCGCGAGGTGGGAGTAGCAGTAGTATTATTTCCCGCTGCGTTGGGTGATTATTTTACCTTTGCATCAGCAAGTCTGTAGAGGTGAAAGATCTACTGGGATATGGCCTGGCCTTGAATGAGGTGCCATTCTTCAGCTGAGGTAATCCTCAAAAAAGCTCAATGAGAGATTAGCCATTACTGATCTGAGAAAGTGGAAGAAGGCCTAATAAATACATTCAGCCATCCACAGAAACTTCTGGTGTGTACTGGAAACACATTATAATGGGAAACTAAGATAAGCTAGAAAAATGAAGACTTCAAGTGTTAGCTCAGACACTTCTAATTTAATATTTTTATTTATTATTTTTATTTTATGTGTATGCATGTATTGCTTGCACGTAGGTAAGTGCACCCGTGACATGCAATGCCCACGGAGGACAGAAGAAACTATCAGATCCCCTGGAACTGGAGTTACAGACAGTTGTTAGCTGTCATGTGAGTGCTGGTATTAGAACCTGGGCCTTCTGCAAGAACAACCAGTGTTCTTAACCGCTGAGCCATCTCTCCAGCCCCAACACTTCTAATTTATACAATTCTGGTTATGGTAATATTCTCCTACCCCATGGAATGAAAATACATTTCTCCTGTGTATATTATATTAAAATCCTCTGTTGTTCTTTGGAAAAGGAAGACATTAATGAGAAAGAAATAAGTATGTGTTTTTCTTTGCACTTGGCAGAGTGTATGTGAAAGGGAAGACAGGAAATTTTCACACTTCTAAGAGGTATAAGGTAATTATGGAAATGCTCATGTGAAATGCAAATAGCAGTCTTATGTGATACAGTTAAATATCTGATGAATAGTTTGGATAAATCCTCTGAACAGGTAAGCATCACAGGGCTTAATAAATGCATGGTTCACAAAAGAAGTATTTCAAACAATTTAAGCAAAATCAGCAATACTGTATCAGGATATAAACCAACATGCTTGCAGGACACGCAGAGAATAACTTGGCTGGAGTTAAGGCTCCCATTGGACATGCAGGGGCAAACTTATGAACATAAATATGAAACAAATTTCAGCAGAACTGGACTATTATTCTTTTTGGTTTTGATTTTATTTATTTTTATTTTATGTATATGAGCGTTTTGCCTGCATGTATGTAAGTACACCCACTCATGCAATGCCGAGAGAGACCAGAAGGGGGCATGGGTTTTCCTGGAATTGGAATTACACATGGTTGTTAGCTACTATGTGGGTGCTGGTAACTGAACCCAGGTCCTCTGCAAAAGCAACCAGTGCTGTTAATCACTGAGCCATCTCTCCAACCCATGGAATTCTACTCTTTAAGTTAGGGCTTTAGGACTGGAGACATGGCTCAGCAGTTACAAGCACTGGCTAATCTTGTATAAGACCCAGGTTTGATTCCCAGAACCCACATGGCAGCTAACAACCTCCTGTAACTCCAGTTCCAGGGGATCCAATGCCCTCTTCTGACCTCCATGGGCATTTCACAACGTGGGTATACTTGCATACATTCAGGCAATGCACTCATACACATAAAATAAAAATGATAAAGTATTTTTTTTAAGTTAGGGATCAGCAGTTAAGAGCACTGGCTAATCTTGTATAGGACCCAGATTTGATTCCCAGAACCCACATGGCAGCTAACAATCACCTGTAACTCCAGTTCCAGGGGATCCAATGCCTTCTTCTGACCTCCATGGGCTTTGCATGACACAGGTACACTTACATACATTCAGGCAATGCACTCATACAAATAAAATAAATATGATAAAGTATTTTTTTAAAGTTAGGGATCTATACACGTAGGGTAGTAAGTATGCAGAAGTTATTGGAAGGTCATTTTGTCTAACTCTGATAAACTTTCAGTTCTCAGAGCTTATGCATGCTTTGAAAAACAATGCTTATTTTACCCAGGATTATCATGAAATATTTTTTCCCATTATTAGGTCCTCTGTGGACAGAGAGCTCCTTGAGACTGAGCTTTGCTTCGGAATATCAAGCATGAATAATGATCAGAAAAGAATGCACTATTAACTGCATTTACTCTTGGGAAGGGCAAGCATATATGTCTAGGACAGAAAGATCAGCCAGGTGTAAGTGGTTAATAGACATATCTAGTTGTGGAGTTGAAATGTCAAACTTCAGAAAAGCATTAGGGCTCTTTCCCCATATCCCCTCCAGCATCTGTCATTGTTCATGTTTTGGATCTTAGCCATTCTGACTGGGGTAAGATGAAACCTCAAAGTGGTTTAGCATTTCTCTGATGACTAAAGATGTTGAATATTTTTTGAGTGTTACTCAGCCATTTGTGTTTCATCTTAGAGAACTCCCTGTTCATCTCTTTACTCCAACTTTTATTTGACTTTCTTTCTTTCTTTCTTTCTTTCTTTCTTTCTTTTTCTTTCTTTTTTTCTTTCTTTCTTTCTTTCTCTCTCTTTCTTTCTTTCTTTGATGTTTAGATTTTGAGTACTTTGTATATTCTAGATACTAACCCTCTGTCAGAAGCATAGCTGATATTTTTTTTTTCCCATTCTGTGGGTTGCCTCTTCACTTGAATGATAGTGTCCTTTGTTGTATAGAAGCTTTTTAGTTTAATGAGGTCCCATTTATCAGTTGTTGGACTTAATGACTGAGCTACTGGAGTGCTGTTTAGAAAGTCTTTCCTGTACCCATAAGTTGCAATGCATTCCCTACTTTCTCCTCTGTCTGATTCAGGGTGTCCAGTCTTATGTTGAGGTCCTTGATCTATTTAGAGATGAGTTTGTTCATGGTGAAAGATAGGGCTCTAGCTTCATTCTTCTGCATACAGCTCTTCAGTTTGACCAGCGCCATTTGTTCAACATGCTGTCTTTCATTCAGTATTTACTTGTGGCTCCTTTGTCAAAAATCCTGTGGCTGTGAATGCATGGATTTAAATCTGGGTCCTCAATTCTATTCGCTGATCAATGTGTCTGTTTGTATGCTAGTGCCATGCTGTTTTTATTACCATAACTCTGTAGCATAATTTGAAATCAGGATGGCAATACTTCCAGCAGTTCTTTTATTGTTCAGAATTATTTTGGCTATCCTCGTTTTTTTATGTTTCCATATGAAATTTGAGATTTTTTTTTTAATTGTAAAAAGTTGTGTTGGAATCAGTGAAATCAGTAAGCAGTGATTAATTTAGAATCTGAAGGAGACCAAAAACCTCCTTTGGACACAGTAACAAAGGTGAAACTGAATAAAACTGCGTAAACTTCTCACTTCAAAGAATAAAGACAAGGCTGCGGAGAAAACTGGGTCAAGTTGAGGACCTGCGTTCAATCCTCAAGATAGGTGAAAGCACTTTCTGGCATACATTTCTAATTCTAGTCCTGGGGAGGCAGAGAATAACAGATATCTGATACGCTCTAGTCAGCAAGTCTAGACTATTTGGGGAGCTGCAGGAAAGGGCGACTTCAGGACTGCACACATATGTACACATACAGACAGAAATCCCCCAAACAAAGAATAAAGACACAAACTTAAACAAAAAAGGATGCTTTCCTTATGATAGTACAAATACATTTCCTCCTGACCTTATAGTGAAAGTCTGTCTTGTGTTTGCTGTTGGCTTTCCCAGACTCAGATTAGTCCCAAAGAGGGGTGGCAAGTGTACAGCTCAGCCCAGGACCCAGATGGGCGATGCATTTGCACAGTGGTTGCTCCAGAGCAAAACCTGTGTTCCCGGGATGCCAAAAGCAGACAGCTTCGCCAACTGCTGGAAAAGGTACGTGTCTTGTGTTCCTTATGCATATTTTTATTGTAATCTATCATTCTTTGAAATGAAACTATGATACATCAGCTAATGGTACGGAGATTCCCTCTGTGTTTTATTGGGGAGGGGACTTTTAAATAAGCCTTTCCCTGTTGCTTGAAATGGGTATCCTGCTACGTTGGTTTATTTCAATGATTTTTACTTTTCCGAATCTTGATTTCTTAAGACAGACTCTCTATCATATACATTAATATCAGGTCATTCTCTCTCTTACAGAACACAAGAAGCAAGAATTGTTATTCCAATGCTAACAATTCAGCCTCAACTCTCAGGATCATACTGGGCCCTTTGAGCTTGTAAAGGAGAGGCGTATTAACAATCTTGCTAGGAAGTTAAAATAATGGCATGCAATATGCAAGCTTTCTGGCAGATAATGAATAATTCCAAGTATTTATCATCATTCTCTAAGTCCTTCCTTTAAACATTAAGCTCTTCAGTTTCATTCAATATCGTTCTCTCCATAATTTACTTAAGCGGGATCCATAACAATCAAATGCAGAATGCCCTTGATTTATTCTCTCTTACAGATGAAAGTCAGCTCATGAAAGGTTATTTATGTTTAGTCAGGTGGGAGGGAAACCAGTGAATGTTTCTTTCAATGATCCCCATTCAGACTTCCATTGTGTTGGGCACTGAATTCAGTAGAACAGCTGGGGTTGGGGTGGGGGAACATGTTTGAATTTAAATATCATCAGGGAGAATAAGATCAGTGAGGTACTATGTGCTACGTGGGATATCATGCTCTCCAGTCCCCTCCATACCACATCATTTTCATAATTCCACACATCTGGCACTTAATAGGAACATTTTAACATACAATTAAGATAGCTAGGGAAAGGAAGATATGTAGTTTGTGAATATAGACAACCAAGTTTTCACAGTCTCAGCCAAGCTTCCACAATTTTCTTCCATCTGTCATGGAGGAGATTCCTCCATGTACATCATTGGAAACCTTTTGATGATCAAGATTCTAAAAGGCCTGTTTTCCTGCTCTTCTGCAGAGCTTGGTCTGTTTCTCCTTCCCCTGTCTTTAGAGGTTTCATCAGGTCCTGTCGGCTCTCTGTTCTCCTGCTTCCATTGCAGTGAGATCCCAAAGAGCAGCAAGTGGCATTTCCAGTCTCATCAGTAATTCTGGGCAATGCACTAGAAATCATTATAGGCAAAGTATGGTTACTCCTATGGTATTGTTTTCTTTTTTTCTTTTAGTTTTTTGAGGCAGGGTCTCCCTATAGCCCCAGCTGGCCTGGAACTCTCTATATCGACCAGGTTGACCTGGATCTCACAGAAATTTGCCTGCCTCTGCCTCCAGAATACTGGGATTAAAGATGTGTGCCACCATGCCCAGATTGTGGTATTGTTTTCTAATCTTGGTTACCTTTTCAGGAAAAAATAGCAAATATGCTATTAAAAAAAGCAAATATGCTTTAGCTTACTTGGTTGTAAGGGAAATTAATTTGTTAGTAAAAAGCTTTTAGGGGGCTGGAGAGATGGCTCAGCAGTTAAGAGTACTAACTGCTCTTGCAGAGGACTGGGGATTGATTCCCAGCACCCACGTGGCGACTACAAACCATCCTAACTGCAGTTCCAGGGGAATCTGAAGCCCTCTTCTGATCTCTGTGGCATTGCATGACACGGGTGCACTCACATACATGCAGGCAATACACTCATATACATAAAATAAAAATAATGAAGAAAATATTTTTAAAAGAAAAAAAAGAAAAAAGCTTTTAATCTTTTAAACCAAATGTTCCTTTTCTATAAAATTGTGTTTCTGTTCAGATTCCTGCCATTCTGAACCCCTCTATCCTCAAATAAATGCCATCTACGTCCACAACAAACATATCTAGAAACAGTTTCTTACATGGCATAACTTCATATTATGTGAGAATATCTTTCAGTACACCATTACATAAACATAAGCACACAGAGAGAAAAGTATTCCTTCAAAACCACTTGAAAGAATTAAGTATGAATGTCAAGAAGTGATTCGTTCTACAGGTTCAAAGTAAAATGTCTATAAAAGATAGGATGAAATTAGGCGTGACTGAAGGATAAAAAGCTACTAAAGTCCAAGGAGAAATTTGGTCAGAAACAGTCATGGAGAAGCTGAGACAACAGCTTGGTGAGTAAGGTGCTTGTTGCACAAGCATCAGTTCTTGTCCAGATCCTCAGTTCCAACTCAGGGGCTCTCTGACCAGCCATTTAGCTCAATCAAGAAGCTCCAGGTTTAGGAAGAAAACGCATCTAAAGGAATCGAGGTGGAGAAGTGATTAAGGATGACATCTTGACATCAGTTATGGCTTCCACATGCATCTCTGACACACACACGTACAGTTACATAGACATCACACACGTACACACACGCACATGCATGCATGCATGCACACATGAACATAATTCATTATGTACTCCTTTACAGTGCCCTCAAGTGGCAAGTTTACTGCGTTGATCCAAAGAAATGATGTTGAAAGGGAGCATCAGCCTTCAGACACAGTATCTTGTTGACTTCTCTAACTTTACATACATCCAAGTTTCCATATGACAAAAGATTATGACCTCTTAGCAACCCAGTCACCACTAACCAGTAAGACCGATTTAACCAAAAGAAAACATATACTTTAAAGAGCCATAATTGTTCTCATTATTACTGCTTTTGTTTTACATGTTGATCTACTCCATTCAATCATTAGAGAACTAGTAGGTTTTTTTGTAAGTTTAATAAAGGATGCTGGTCCTTTCTGGGTTTAAACTTCTAAACCTCCAAATGTCCCTTAATCTCTTTAGTAGATCAGTTTTATACTGTTTTTATCTCATCCTGAATGCCCCACTAGGCATCTCCACACTTACTAAGTGATGTTTTCTCTGTCAAATGTTTTTAACAAGTATGTATATTACTGGACACTAGAAAAATGCAATTACTTTAACAGAATCTCAGGTCCTAGTATACCAAAATTAAAACTGCTGACCTAATATCTTGTTTGTTCATCCTATAACTCCTCCTTAAAGCTGCAGATACCCTGCCTTGTCTGGGTCCCTGTTTCTTAAAACATGATGTTCGGACTAGGATGTGTAACAGTCTCATCAAAAAACCCATTCAAAGAGCCCTAGTCAGAACACTTCATCATGAGAATTTCCAAAATGGTTTACGACTAAGCTTGCTGTAAAGTTCCATCATCAAGAAATTACTGTGATATCTGTTAAACCAAAGCCAGCTAAGCATACTTAACCATAGACCTTTCTACTATAAAGCAGCCTGTATAAATAGTTATCAGTGAGAATAAAAATGTATGTTCATTTGTGTTAGCTCAAACACCTTATTCATAAAAAGTACCAGGACAGTAATTTCAAAAGAATTAGCAGTGATGGGGAAGAGTCTGTGTTAGGCAGAGGTTCCTAACTGCAACAAACACCTGAGAAAACAGTAACTTAGGAGAGGAAGAGTTTATTTTGCCTCTTGGTTTCAGAAGCCCAGTCTGTGGTCACTAGGCACTGCTGTTCCTTGGATATGGTGGTAAGGCAAAACCTCATGGTGAAGAATATACGGTAGGACAAATCTCAGCAGACAAGAAACAAGGAGAGAGGAGACTGGAATGGTCTAGGGCATGATGTAGTCCCTAAGACACATCTTGGTGACCTACTTCCTTCATCTTCCTCTTAAGTTTCCAAACAAACAAAATAGTTCTAGTAACTGAGAACTAGATTCAGTCCATGAGCCTGTGGTTGACATCGGATAGTCAAAACAGCAGAATCTGAATCCCAGGGACATACATATAAAGCTGAATTGCTGACAACTTCAGAGAAAGGCAGACTAAAAGAAGAAACCCAGGGGGACAGATCGCCTTCTACAAGTTAAGCAATGCAGTTCCAATGTCCTGTATTATCAGGAAACTGAACTCAAGTGAGATTCCAGAAACAGGAAGAAACGTCATTGGGGGTACAGCCATCAGAAAAAGCTAAGGACAACCCAGAGTCAAACTTTGTCCCGCTGGACACCTCTTGCTCTAGCCTCTTCTCCACATGTAACTCCTGCTGGTTTTCCTGGTTCTCTATATAGAAGGTAACAACCAAGTCTCAGCAAAATTTCTCCAGTGCATTTTCCCACCGCATAAATTAATTTGACAAATTGGAGGCAGAGTCAAAGATAAAATATGAGAGGCTATTTTAACTCTATTCATGTTACTTTCTTTTGTCGATCATCTTCTATGCCTGTATATACTAAATTCTTGGGAAGATATCAGCCATGTTAATGATGGATGTCTTCACAGACAAGCGCTATGTTTAAATGGACAGTCAGGCTCTTCGATGCAAATGGCTTTTCTTTATTTATGCTTAACCATAAATGAAGTTAGAAAATTACTCTGGATACATTGCATTTATCCATGATAAAGTCACTTTGTGTTCAGTGTTATCTTAGTGGTTTTTTACAACACTGAAGATTTCTTTAAGTGAAGCTTTCTGAATTTAAGAATGGTTGCAAATTAAGAAGTATCTATGATCATAGCTATACTTGACTGTTACAGGAAGGGGGAAACTCTCCTTAAAATGTTAAAATCCTAATTACCCACCACATTATTTGAAACCCAAGATGATGTTACCCAATAAGTACTTACTGAGCACTTATTCTGTGTCCAGTTCTGTGTAACAACTTGGAAGTTAAGGCTATAATATACAGCCTCTGAAGAGCAGCACAGAACAAGAGGCACTTTCCTGACGTTACCCAAGCACACATTACAAATTTCCTTGTAATATGAACCAGACTGTGAAATGTCCTAACAAGACAGATGGATATAGGGCAGGACTAGATATCAAGACAGCAGTGGAAAAAGATAAAGGAAAATTGACTTATCCGACAAGAACTACAGAAAAGAAGCACACTAGGATGCCAGAACTCACTGGCTTTTCTGAAAATGACTGTTCTAAGAATTCTATCAACCAAATGTGTCTACTGCAGGCAGATATGTGCACTGAGCCTTCTAAATTTCTCTGATGGGATACTCTGTGTCCGAACAAATCAAACATTTGTAGTTAATATGTTTTTCAATGAAAGTAGCTTTTGCCTAATTCATTAAAAAACAAATGGAAAAGCACATACAGATATCTAGAACAAAGTAAAACTTGCAATCCTTTCACCATTTTTATGCCCATACTTTCATATAGTCACTGATGCAAATAATAATATTATACAATCAAAATAGGTTTCTACATATATATGTACTCAGATGCCTTCAGTGTGGTTGGATTTCCCTGGGCAGAAATCTAATATTAAAACCTAATGTATATTTTTTTCTAATTCTCTCCTATATTTCTTTTTGTTAGTATACTTTATAGATTATGTTACATATTGCATATGTGCCTGTATTGATTTATAATAAAGCATCCAACTATGTAAGCATATTTACATTTGCTGTCTTTTGGAAACCCTGCCAAGCTGAACAGTGAAAGTCAGTTGCAGGAATCACTTGGGATCTTGATAAGTATGCAGATGAATTGAATAGCTTTGATGGGATGCTGCATTTCTGACAAGCTCCCAGGTGGAGACAAAGTTGTTGCTCTGAAAACAGTACTGAAGAAGGACAGAGGTGTAGAAATTACCTTAGTCTCTAGAATGGTTAATTCGGATCGTGTTCTTCAAGGTTCCCCTCTATTAGAGGATTTCCCTTTGTTTTCAGATCTTTGCTGCCACAAAAATTAGAGCAGCTCTTCTTTCATTTCTGCATGCTTTCTAGGTCACCTATTTCCTATGTCTAAACAGCCCAGGTCCCAATGAACCTGGTTTGGTGCCATCAGCTTGACATGGGGTACTGCCTTTCTATCAAGCCCTTTGTATGGCTGTCATTTTGCAGGTCCCGTAAACAACTGAGGAGGTGTCCCAAAACCGCCATCGCTTGACCTGGTCAGTTCAGTGTCACTCCTGAGAGTCCTTTAGCCCCATTATGATGTAACTGCATTGGAAATGATATCAGCTGAGCATCTCTGGAGGAGTTCCAGGTTTTGTGTCCTGGAACAAAGAACTGAGTAGAGACATAGAGTATCAGCAGAGACAGGGATTAATGGTCAGAAAAGAAAAGTTTAGTAGCTGGATGGTCCAACAAAGGATCCAGGCTTTAATGTTACATAGCCTGGGCACATGGGAACTTTTGCATAGCATGGACTTTTGGGGGTTTTTTGTTGCACAAGCTATATGTTTCATATAGTTGTACACAGAAGCTCATGCAGCACATGTCTCATTAGCATCTTAAATCTCCACCCGGAGGTGCGTGTTAGTATTATAATGAACCATAAATCACCTTGATATACATGTAGGCTCCAAACCTACATGGACAGTGATTAAGTGGCTGATCAGGGGATGAGTGTCCAGCCTTCCTCTTTGCCAAATGGTTCCTTTCATACAGTATTTTTTCAGCCCTGTGGAGGCTCCACTTCACTCCCATCCCTACACTCCTGCCTCAGAATGCATTTTAAGTCTGTGGGACCTTTCACCACCATCCAGCATTGGTAAGCATTCCTGACCTCCCAGAAATCAAAAATCATCTTTACAGAGATAGTTTCTTTTGGCATTCATTACATCGTGGTGTTATATACTTACACAGCCTTGGTATGAAAAGTTTATTTTAAATTTTTTCTAATCTGCTAAATCGTTATTTACTTGGTCATTTCTAATGATAAAATGTTCATTTTTATGGCAAGAACTGGTGTAATTTTCTTTGTCTGGATTCTATGAATGCTTGCTGCAGAGACTCACCCTGAAAATATGACATATCCCTGAAAATGTGGATTTGGCAGTGCCAGTTCCTTATACTGATGTCATTTTTGACTCCTTACTAGTGGTTGTGTCCATAAACAAAATAATGTACAACTCATGATTTCGTTTAACAGGTACAGAACATGTCCCAGTCTATAGAAGTCTTAAACTTGAGAACTCAGAGGGATTTCCAGTATGTCTTGAAAATGGAAACACAAATGAAAGGGCTAAAAGCCAAGTTTCGGCAGATTGAAGATGATCGGAAGACCCTAATGACCAAGCATTTTCAAGTAGGTGTGAGTTCTGCCTTCTTTACAGTCCACATGTGTGAAGTAATAGACTCACTAGGGACTCGATTGTCTCTCCATTAAAACTGACCATCAGCTGCTAGGAATACACAGATCCCTGCTGTAAACAGAGCCTCCCCCTCCTAGAGCTACGTAGAGTTTCTGGGTAGATTTACTTTGATATCTATGACAAAGAAAAATCCTAAGGAAAATTAATTATCACAGCTTTTCTAATGATTTTATGCTCTGCTAGAATGAGGGGAAATATGGCAGAAATAAATTATTAAAGGAGATAATAATACCATTGATAAAAGCATTTTACTGTAAACAGAGCCTCCCCCTCCTAGAGCTACGTAGAGTTTCTGGGTAGATTTACTTTGATATCTATGACAAAGAAAAATCCTAAGGAAAATTAATTATCACAGCTTTTCTAATGATTTTATGCTCTGCTAGAATGAGGGGAAATATGGCAGAAATAAATTATTAAAGGAGATAATAATACCATTGATAAAAGCATTTTAAAAGAAGATTATTTTCTAATTATATGCAAATAAGTTCTTTTTTTAACTTTAGATGATTTTCTGGCAATTATCTAGAAACACTGAAAATGGAAAAAGTGTTTTGAGCATGCTGTGCAGACTTTTATTAACTATATATGGCAGAGCCATTAATTTAAAAAATATCTTGCTCTGATAATGCTATTTGAGCCTGTTTTAAAAATAAATTATCTGCCTTAAAAGACATAGCACATAGTTTACAAAAAAACATTAAGATTGTCCACATAATAGCATCACCACACCACACCCCCAGGCAATTAGGTAGCTAGTTTCAATACCAATGTGAGAGGAGTGGATTAAATTCAAACTTGTGGTCCAGGAAAGAAGTGAGAAGCCATGGGGGTTGAATCAAAGAGAGACTTAAAAACAGGTTAAAAAAAAAAGAACAAGTTAGAGCAAGTCCTGGGCGTTATAATACACTTGCAGCTTAAAAGAAATAAGACTGAGAATTGGATCCAGAGAAAATTTATGGAAAAACACTAAACAGAGGAATATAAGGCTTGAAGAATAAAAAAAATCCATTTTAACCAGAATTTATTTAGCACATATACTATGTAAGGAAGTGCTGGGCCTGATTGGTTGAATAATAAATAAACTTCCCCTCAATAAAAGGCAACTGAGAAGGAAGCAAGACTAACAACAAAGAATGATTCAGCTTTATATAAGAGCAGAAAGGACAGACCTATTCATTTTGTCTACAGAAGATCTGCTGAAGAGTGATGGGATTGGCAGTGTTTAAGAAAGACACTTAGATGTGGCTTCCTTCTCTAAATACAATTACAGTGGGGATCTAGCAATCTAAGAGTTTCAATGTCAATTTCAATGCACAGAAGTAGGGTCAAGAAATAATGTGAACCTGAAGCTGAGGTCATCAGCAAGGTAGGTGGTTGTGAGCATTCAGGTGCAGGAGACAAGAAGCATTTCCTGAGAGGGCGGGAGTTCATGCTGTCTGTGAAATAGACTTGTAGGGAATGCATTGTAAATACAGGTACCATTTAAGTTTCTCTAGCTTAGCAGAACTTGGAAAGCATGATGCAGGAATCAAAGAAACAACACAGAGACAAAGCTGAGAGAAATCCAAAGAAATATTTTTCCTTGGCTAGAGAGATGGCTCGGTCAGTAAAATGTTCACAGTGCAAGCGTGAGAACTTGAGCTCAGAGCCTCAGCAGTGGGGATGTGGAGAGAGATAGATCTCAGGATCATTAGCCAGCTAGTCAGGCCTAAAAGGTGAGCACCAGGGCCCAATGGTAACGGTAACTCTCTCTCTCTCTCTCTCTCTCTCTCTCTCTCTCTCTCTCTCTCACACACACACACACACACACACACACCACATCACAGTAATAATTAGATATTCAACACGTGTTTGTGGAATTCATTTATTCACTGAGTCACATCATTTCCCTCTAGGTGCTGAGATATTCTAAAACCAAGTTTAACATGAAAATTACTTTAAAAAACTATCTCTACTGATACATAATATTTTAGTTGGAATGCTTAAGCTAACCATAATGGCTGAGACCATCTTTCATAAATGAAAGGATTGTTGTTGGCAAGATACTCTAGTTACTCTCAGAGCTATACAATAAAAGTGAAATTCCAAAGGGAATTACTGAACCCAGATCTATGATATTATATTTTCATTTTTATGTGTTTGATATTTGTACTAGTTGGACATACCACTGCTCTCTGATAAGTTTCCAAAGTTTGGAAATTGATTTTCAACTGAGTGTGGTAGCACACACCTTTAATTGCAGCACTTGGAGGCAGAGGCAAGCAGCTCTCTGTAAGACTGAGGCCAAGCTGGTCTACATAGTGAGTTCCAAGCAGCTGTGGCTACAAGGAGACCCTGTCTTAAAAAATGATTTTCACAAATCTATAAATCTTAGAAAAGGTACATAACACTTTTTAATTCCTCAAGGAAAAGAAACTATGAAAATTTTGAAATCAGAAGAGTCTTTTAAAATGCCAAGAGAAGAATGTAAAACTTTTCATTCTAACTGTTGTTATAATTTGCAGCAAATGATATGAACACAACTCTTGTCATTAGTATTGTAATGAAACAATTGTGTCTCCCTTTAGGGGCACCACAAGATGCTTAAACTAATAAGCTTATTTGAAGATGAGCCACTAAAATGAGCAAAGCTCTGCAGTTCTGCCTTTTAACTGTGGTAGTTATGACTCTTTCTCATTACTAAGATACTCTATCTTCCAACTCAACATGCACGTATGGACAAATTCAAAGTTTTTCAAATTTATAGAGGAAGTCAAAATTTCTCAACAAGAACCACAAGCCCATAAATCAGGGTGGCAGTGGGGTGGGAGCTTCTGCTATTTCAATGCATTTCTAGTAATAACATCTTCTAAATGTAATTTAAAAATGCAATTTTCAGCTCCTTAAATTATTATACAGTATGGCTTCTGACAGCACCTATGGATTATTTGCAAATGATCGTAAGTTTGGAACTCTTGCCACAAATTATATCATCTGCAATAAATTCGTGATTGAATCAAGCTCCTGCAATATTTTTGCTGTCTACAATGCCCAAGTTAAAGGGAAAGAAGTACATGTGACAAGTATAGAAATTGCAGGTGAAATTGCAGCTGTGGCTCAATCCTGTAATAACTGTGAGTGGGGGACACTGTTTGACAACATATGCTTCTTGTTCTTGTGACAAAAATCAATGTTTAAGTTTAAAACAACTCTGTCCAGCTGCAAATGGCTTATTTGTTACATAAACTACATACTTTGGCTCCCTAAGGCATTAAAGCACTATATGGGTAAACAATGCTGCCTTACATAATGACCTCTAACTTATCTATGTATAAGACAAATGGAGACAGAGTATGGCTAATAATTCAAAATGCTAAACCGCAATGTATATTACCTCAACCTTTGGGAAGCTTTGTATGATTTATTATGTAGCTTCCTAATGAAGCTTCCTAATGAAGTTTCACTAAGATGGATATTAAAGAAAAATGTGGAACACTGAGCACAATAGAAGGACAAAGGAACATGTGGCCAGGACTAGAAAAAAGTCTCAAGTTCAAGGAGAAAGCTGATTCAGAATCCAAAATTCCCTGTATATAGTCCTAACGCATGGCTTTTCAGTAGTTGGATAATTAATCTTAACTAACTTCTCATAGGATATTTGACCTATTTCCAATACCATTATTCAATACATTATTAGAGAGGAGGACCCTGTCCCTGTCTCTGTTTTCTAACTAAATGATGAATTGCTTATCTTATGAAACATTCACAGAAAGCAAGATAACACAAAGTCTATAATTGCTATGATAGGAAGATTTTATAATTATGATAAGGATCAATTTACTTTATAGCAAAGCATGTAACCACTTAAAGAGAGGTTGCTGTGTTGACAAGGTGAGATGAATAAATGTATGATAGTGATCATGTGGTCACTTCCATTCTCAAAACCTACCTAATTTCAACCAAAAAAACCAATGAGGAACTTTGAAGCTCTTTTAATAAGCTCCTTGATATGTCAGATACAAGAATATAGCTCTTTGCTCTATTTAAAATGACTCTTAGAAACGATCCTCTTCACAGGAGCTGAAAGTCAGATACAAGAATGTAGCTCCTTGCTCTATTTAAAATGACTCTTAGAAACGATCTTCTTCACAGGAGCTGAAAGAGAAAATGGACGAGCTCCTGCCCCTGATCCCAGTTTTGGAGCAGTATAAAACGGATGCAAAGCTCATCACACAGTTCAAGGATGAAATTCGGAATCTGTCAGCAGTCCTCACTGGGATTCAGGAAGAAATTGGTGCCTATGACTATGAAGAACTTCACCAAAGGGTCCTCAGCTTGGAAACCAGACTTCGTGACTGCATGAAAAAGCTAAGTAAGTAGAGAGCTTTCATTTGTCTGTGCCATGGGCTTCAAACAGCCCAGAAGACTGCGTCCAAACATCACAAAAGCTCAAAAGTAGAAGTATCTAGCTAAAAGGAACATACTCCAAGTTACAGTATCACATGCTCCTTAATGACATAGGCATATCTGAGAGATGTTACTTAAGTTTCCAAAATGTCAAGGCTCGGTGTTTCCATTGGGTGGCTTCAAATAACTAGTCTGCCAAATAAAGCCAGTTCGGTTGGCCATACTAATGGGAGTAAGTTTTATTTTTATCAACACGAGATGAGCATTCATTTCTTGACTGGGGTAGGAAAAGCTTTTATTTACTGAATTTTTTGTGCATTTCAGCCAATCAATCTTGATCATATTTAAAGTCCTCCCCTATACGCAGCTTCCTCATATCCCACCACAGGATTTCATGTGTTCTATCATATATGTTAAGGCCTATTGATTCAAGTTTGTGTACCCAGATTTCCCTCAGTGTGAGTTCATCTACTGGATGCTAGTCAGCCTATCTAGAGTTCCTCCCTTAAAGAAGATCAACTCTCCTTCACTCAGCACTGATAAGCTGCCAGATGTTCCTCTTGGGGCCTTCTGCTCATTTCCCCGGCTCTGTGCTGGTTTTTGTTTGCTTGAGTTTGCATGGGTTTTGTGCATGCTGTCACTATTGCTGTACGTTCACATGAGCAAGTTCCTAGGAGCCTGGAAGAGTCTGTTTCCTTATGGTCAGCCACTATTCCTTACTCTTACAATCTTTCTCCCCACTCTTCCACGAGGGGCCCTGAGCCCTGGGCAGGTGAGGTTTAATGTGAGTCCTGTCCAGGGACAGAGAGAATTTTAATACATCTCTCAACTCCCACCAATGAAACTTCCTCGTGCAACAGAGGGCAATTAAAAGCTTTTTATGTAATTTATTTTCTTTTCAAAAAACTTTTTATTAAGTTTTTTTGTATTTCAGACACAACATCTCAGTCATCTTTATACTCTCTTCCTCATCCGCACCCCACCACCCCTGCACTGGTATTACAGAGTTCCACAACTGCTCACACATAGAGATTAAATATCTGTGGAATGCCCAACCCTAAGTGACACATCTGCAATGGAACCTCTCTTTCTAAGACTCATGAAACATAGTGGAACAAGGGATAGAAAGAATATTAATGCAGCTCTGAACTCTCATCAACAAAGTTCCCTCATGCAACAGAGGGCAATGAACCCAGGGCTCAGAGACCATTGCAGAAGAGGGGCAGAAAGATTGTAAGAGCCAGGGGAGGAGGTGCATGGCCATAAGGAAATAGAGTCTTACAGGAGCCTAGGACCTTGATCATATGAACTTACGGTAATGGTGACAGAATACACAAGACCCATGCAAACTCAAAGAGACAGAAATACAGCATAGAACTGTGGGAAGGGGCAGCAGGCTCCAGTCTTAATCAGGAAACAGTTGGGCAGCTGATTACTACTAGGTGAGGAAGATCTGATCTTCTTTAAGGGAGTGGCTCTAGATAAGTTTCCTAGATCCCAGTGAATGAACTTGCACTGAAGGTCATCAAAGGACACTAACTTGGCTTGATAGGCCTTAGTATAAAAGTTAAAAAAAAAAAAAAACTGAAAACTCGAAGCTGAGTAAAGGCAGTTTCTCTGGGATTGAGTGTGCAGTTATTAACGCAAACCAAACCCACCCCCACCCCAGAACTGCTATCAACTCCTCTGTTCTACTAAAGAAATTCAAAGGAAATAGATAGGCATCACCTTGCAAAGGTCTGCTTTGACAAATTCCTTCATTACCTGACTTTGTGCTCCGCTTAGGTAATCCTGAACCCTGATAATTCTCTAAAGACTTCATTTTTCAATTTCCAGTATCGTGACATGTGTTCTATGTGGATAAGAACAATGGTGATCATGTTCTCTCTTCATGTTGCATCTCCCAGTGAATAGAAACCTCCTTGGCAAAGAAAGATTGCTTATGAATATCTGATGAATAAACTATTTCTCTAAGGAGTCATAGAAATTATTTCTTGACTTTTTAGCAGAATGTTCATCAATTTGAGTGGCAGAGAATGGTCTATTTTACTTCTTCAAAAATTTTTCTTTCAGCCACATTGTATTTAACCTGAAGTGTCACAAGTATGATTTGGACTAACCAAAAGTAAAGGTAGCTGTTCGACACGATATTTACCAATCATGCATGCTCTAGTGTTATAATTCAAGTTGTAGAGTTTATGAATATTAGCGCTTAATATCAAAATACATTTTTGTCTGATAGAGTTTGCGTGGGTCTTGTGCATGCTGTCACCATTGTTGCAAGTTCAAATAAGCAAGTTCCCAGAGGCCTGGAAGACTCAGTTTCTTTTTGATCAGGTACCAGTCCTGGGTCTTAACAATCTTTTTGTCCCCTCTTCTGAAACGGTCCCAGAGCCATGGGTCAGTGAGTTTTAATAAATGAGTCCTATCCAGGGGCATACTCTCTGCAGTCTTTTTCTCTACTCTATGGCCAGTTGTGGCCTTCTGTATACATGGAACTCTGTTTCATGAGGAAGCTTAGCTAGTAAGAGTTAAGAGATGAATTAGTATTCTCTCTACCCCCTGTTCTGCTATGTTCCATGAGTCTTAGAGGTTTCTTGAGTGTAGACGTTCTATTTTAAATGTGTCACTTAGGGATAGACATCTCTCAGACAATTATTCTCTGTGTGTCCAGTTGCAAAACTCTGCAATAGTCTCCATCTGTTGCAAAAAAAAAAGCTTCTTTGATGAGTGGTGAATGGTATACTTATCTGTAAATATAAGGATTCATATTTAGCATACAGTAAGAAATTACAATTGTCTAGGATCTGTGACCTTTCCATCCATCTATATTTAGCTGTTTACAGTGCCACATATGAGTTCCCTCCCATTGAGAGGGTTTTAAGTCCAATTCCATAGCTGTTGATACCCCAAGATAAAATTGCCCCTATCATACCAATATAGTTTGTTATGCAGGTCATTGTTGTGGTTATTAGGCTTTACAGTTGGGTTGGACCATTGGTTGATTTTCCTCCCTTAGCTGCTTGCATAGTATCCTCTAGAACTGTGAAAGCTTGTCTTCAGGGAGGATGTTTCCAGGTCAGTTCCAGTTCCATTTATCCAAGTCCTGTGTCCAAAGTATGACCTGTCTTCAGCAGTAGGGTCAGTAATAGCCTGTGTTATTTTGGGCATCTCTTGGACTACCAAGATCAATAACTCGGAGGGAAGTTTTATCTGTCTGGCACTGTATTTCTTGTTATGTAACCTTCGGGACTACACACGCAGTCATGTTCAGATAACGTATGTGTATTTTTCAGTAGGTTTTTGAGCTAATAAATTTCCATCTGGTTTCTCACACTAAGATTTATGGAGGAAATGATCAGCAAGCTCCATCCTTAGCTAAGCAACTATTGGCAGCTGATTACTGCTGAGTGAGGGAGAGCTGATCTTCTTTAAGGGAGTGACTCGAGATAGGCTGACTAGACACCAGTGAATGAACTACTACTGAGGGACATCTGAGTGCACAAACATGACTCGAAAGTCCTTAACATACATGACAAAATGCATGAAATCTTGTGGGAGCCTGTACGGATGGGGGAAGGACTCTAAATATGATTAAGATATTTTGTATGAAGTGCACAAAAATTCAATGAAAAATATACATTGAGAAAAAAATCAAAATGTCTTAATGATTATAAAAATATTCAAATACATGTCTTATTAACCCATAATATAACTAATTAAATTTTTTGTTACAAAAATGGCTTGTTAGAACTTTGACTTATTTTGGCATATATCCATAGCCTATAGAAGAATCATTACAGACACGTAGAATCTATTCACTCTCTTATCTGAGCATCTTGCAGTAGCCCAAAGTTCACAATCATTGCATATTGGGAGGCATCTTTTGGATACAGATGGATTCTGATGGAGCAAGAACACCTATAAGATCACTCTTGCTAACGGTACTTTGAGTCAAAAAACATCATCTAAGTTAGATGAATATTCATGTTGTTTTTCATTGCTACTGAACCATGAATATTATTTCAGGGTATCCTTAGGCCTAAGGACTTTATCTATAATATTGTTGTATCATCATAGATCATTTTATTCATTTCCTTCATAGACTACAAAGCTGGAAAAAATATGACAAATAAGTAGCATTCATTAATATTTATTTTCTTTTCTTTATTTTTGTGCATTTTAAAATTTATTGTACCATCCCAGAAATCATCCCCAGTGCCTTGGAAGGGCTGATTTTAACTAAGCTAATGCATGTAGTCTAGTGTCACTATATGGCACATAGTAAATAATATCATCAGTTTCCATTTTTCTTATAGTAAGTTAGTTTGGCTTTGATTTACCTGAACTGTCACTATAAAAGATTTAAGATGTAGCAGTAGGTCTGTATCTGAAAATTGGTTCTAGAATCTTCACAAATACCCAAATTTGCAATTTTTCAAAACTCTTATATAAAATAGCATGATATTTGACTATAACCTATATGTATCTTCCTGTACAGTTCATATCATTTTGAAATTATTTATAAAACCTAATACACTGTAAATGTTCGGTAAATATGTTTAAGTAATAATAACAAGAAAATTAACATGTACATGCTCACTATAGATGAAATTGTCTTCCAAACACTTTTGATTCATGGAAGGGTTGAAGACTGAAAAGTCAGAAAAACAAGGAACTGACTGGAATTCATACATTTCTTAAACTGTTTCCAATTGTCAGTTCCCAAACCAGATTCACTTAGAATAGAAACAAGTGCTACAAAAAATTAAGTTATGTTTTTGTATCAAGAAGAATGTAGTTTTGTTCTTCCCATCATTTTTATGTCAGTTAACCACTTATTGAGCATCTCGGAGCATAGAAGATATTGTATCAACTAGACCAGTGTCTTAACTGCAGTATAAGAAACATTTTCAAGAGATATATTGTACATTAAAACTTAATCATTATATTTTCCATCAATAA